GCCATCTTTGTAAAACTTATTAGAGTAACTAAGTATTTGCTTGCATTATAAATGTATTTTATTTTGTATATCCTAGAATTTTCTTTGGTGTCTCATGCATCCTCAATGTGCATATATATATATATATATATATTTGATTTAATACTTTAATAACTTCAAGCTCCCAAAAAAATAGGAACTGTATCTATTAAGCCTACTTTATTCAGTACCTAGCTTGTTTAGTAAAGGTCATGAAATAGATATTACAGGTCATCTACAATAGGCTTGGGGGGAAAGTGTGCTCCCATCTGTTATCCCTTCTGCCTTTGCTCATGGCAGACATCACTAACTGATAACACTCTTCTCTTGGTGGATGCAGATGCAGCCTTAAAACCCTCAGGAATGCAATCCAGTGATCATTCCTGGTCTACTGGAAACTTTTAGAAACAGACAAATCCTTTTTAGTCATTTAAGAACTTGGGAGCCTGATAGGAAATGTGTGGATGCAGGCTCTGTCAAGACTGGCCTGTCGTTCTGGATTCATGCCTAATTGCCTGGATGTAAGCCATGCATTTCCAGAGTTCTGCCTCAGAATATTTTAGACATCAAGATGAATGTTCCAGCCCTTAGCTTTCAGTGCTCAGCTATCTCCATTTAGTAAATATTTTAAATGACATAGTGGTGATTAAAAGTGAACACACTCTCTCTTTATAAACCAGCATTGCTATGCAAACACATTAGCGAGTTTAATAGAGAGGTGTTTGAAGTTGAAGATACTCAATACCATCGCCATCTGAGCTCCTTTGCTAGAACCCTTTACCATACGAAGATAGAACCTCACATTCTTCCATTTTGCCACATTCCTTGTCTTTTAAATGACATTCTGTATGGTGACTACCAGAAGACCTCGGAAGGTATTTGCTCTGAGAAGTCTCAGTGCAAAGCACATGAAGTGCCATTGGCCATGGCCCAGAGCCCTGGTGCTTTCATCTGAGTGGGGCAGAGTTAAACATTTACACTCCTCACAGGGTGCCCAGCCTGATAAATTATGTTGTGGCAATTATCTTACTGTGCTGACAATGAATGCTTCAGGCAGAAAAACGGACCAATGGGAAAGAAGAAAACCTTTTTACCCAAATGTGTTTTTAATTATAGTTCTAACAAAGATGAAGCAAAACCAGGGAAGTGCAAAATAATCACAAGGGTCTTACAAAATAAACACCATTTGTTTTCAGAACTATATCCAGTGACGCCAAACCTGTTGTTTGTCCAAATAATGGAACCGTCTCCTCATTAACAGCATTTGTTCATGAACCCCAAATTAAATATGCCTTAGCTTTAACAATCAAATAATTATATAAGGAAAGTATCAAATATAAAATAAATCACAGTGCCATGAAAAGATTAAAGTGAAGACACAGCTTGACCAAAAACTTTCATTAGTTGATACTGTCTCGTCATTGTGAATTTTTCAAATCACATATAGTCAAGAGTGAACCATTGCTGCATTCCAGGAAGTCATAGTCTAACCTCTAATATCATTAATGATGTTACTCATGGTCAAATTTCCCAGCATTAAAATTTTATAAAAGCAACCAAGCCAGATGGTTCAGTGGATAAAGGTGCTTGCTGCCAAGCCTGAGTTCAAGATCCAGAGCCTACATGGTAGAGGAAGAGAACCAACTCTCAAAAGATGCCCTCTGATTTCCACATGAGTACCATACCCCCCACAGAGAGAGAGAGGAGAGAGAGTGGGGAGAAAGGAAGGAGGGAAAGAGGAAGGGAGGGAGGGAAGGAGAGAGAGGGGAAAAGAACACCACACAAATAAATAAAGACAAAAAGTTTAAAATGCTATGAAACCAATGGTTGCAGCAGCAATCATTCTTGTCAGTGTCTTCTGGGCTCTGTGACTCTTAAGTCACCACTTGTGGGAGTCATGCTCATCCACAGAGGCAGGAATATATACATACATTGTGCACCTTTCCATTTTCTGAGAACATTTTTTTTGTTGTTGAAATTGAGAAGTGAAAACAGCCTCACACATATGCGATACATCCTAAATAATGAAACTCCATGCACTGCTAAGGACTACTGGCTGGCTTTATCTAAGCAATTAAGTGGAGTATTCTGGCTCTGCCTGTGAGCAGTGCATGGCAGATTTCTGCTTGCCCCCATTCCATCCTCTCTACTGCATCAGTCTTTTCATCTTTCAGTTGCTGCATCACAAATGCATCGCAGCTGGTTTGGGCAGAAAGAGAGATTTGCTGGAAGCATAATTTTCACAGCCCTGTGATCAGATGTGCCTAAGCTTGGCCCTTTCCAAGATCCTGTTTGTTTCTTGTGTGCTCACATTTGTTTCTTGCTTCTTTCTGCACACCAGCTTTTGGTGCAAATGGGTAAATGCATCCCCTTAAAGACCCAGCCCTCCCAGTTTCCCTGTTAACTCCAAGTTCTTAAATGCTCTCTTAGGGGTGGAAAGAAGGTTTGTTCTGTTTTTAGAATGTTTAATGAACAAGACTAAGGAAAGGAATGGAGGGAAATAAGGGAAAGGAGAAATGTTTAGAAAATAATTGTGATATGATACACACAGATCTAATATCAGAAAGTAAAACACCCTAATTATTATTCCATTTCCCTTTCTGCCCTGGTGTATCAAAATTAGATTTTTTTAAGCCTGTTGCTTGTCTGAATAATTATGTCTGCCTCTACTCATCTTCACAATGCTGTCTAGGAGAGCAGCAATGATTCATAGTCTTGAGTGATTGAAGGATTCAAAGGTAGGAAAGAAATGTTACCAGAAATCTCAGGGAGTCTTGTCAGAGTTAGCATATGATACTGGGAAAATAAGGGTCCCCTCTTAGGATTCTTAGTCTCATTAATGGAGAAAAAATGGAATAAAATAGAAAGTGGATACAATTTATTAGAGTTTAAAATAAAATAAATATTGCAGCTCCTCTACTGGGAGGAGGGAGAAGGTAAGTGGACATGGACATTAGCTGCTTGGTGGCAGGTAGTCACATGGTAAGAAAGAGACTTTTAGAAGAGGGGTAAGGAAGCCTAAAGCATCAGGGAGTTTTTAAAGATACACTTAGGCTTACATCTAAGAGAAAAAGAGAAGAAAAGAAAAAGGAATGGTTAGGCCTTTCCATTAACACAGAAATACAGAAGACCCATCTGAACTCCAGGAAGGCTCACAAAGACTGTACTAGGTAGCGGGAATTCTGGGTAAGGAAAGTACATTATCTTAAATCGAACCCACCTTCCTAAGGGTGACCCCCTAGCCAGGTCCTTGACTGGCCAGGCTGAATTAACTCATAGACAGGTGGGGGGAGGCAAAGCTTGTCTCTACCTAGAGGCAGATTCCTTTCTTACTATATCATTAGGAAATAGAAAGCATGCAAATTTTTTGTTTTGTTTTGATTTTTTGAGACAGGCTTTCTCTTTTAGCTTTGTAGACCAGGTTGACCTCCTGAATTCTGGGATCAAAGGTGTGCTCCACCACTGCCTGGCTAACATGCAAATTCTTAATGGATAAATAAGTAAATATATGCTGGTTCACTTCCTGGAGCATCAGTTGTTGAGTCAGTCTGTGACTCTGGCCAGGTCCCAGAGAGATTTTAGAACAATGAGAGGGACTGTGAAAGTCAGCAGATTCACTCACCACTCTGCAGTAAGAACAGAGTGGAGGGGGTGTTGCTGGAATAGAATGCCACGCTGCACCACTGAAACGGATGAGCAATTTGGGGTCTTTTTTACAGGTGACTTCCTAGCAGCCTGGAGGGGCTAAGGGAAATCAAATTTTTATTGTGCTCTCTCCTTTACACTCTGTGGTGAACCTTCCAAATTGGAAGATCAGATTCTGGGCTTGTAAAAAGTTTACTGCTTAAACTTCTCAAGGGAAAGGACAAAAGGCCAAGAACAATTTAAGACAGAATGAGAAAAGGACTCTTAACTTTTTCCATGAGCCCAGTCCTAACCTTTGCCTATGCTGTGCAAAATGTGTTATACATGCAGTGAACAAATCAGCCTAGGTACCTGGGGTGAGGACTCAAATATTCTACCTACATCCCAACCTTTGTAGTTAGATCTTTGTCTAATGGAGGGTTAGCCAGGCTTTAGTGGAAGTGAAGAAATAGTAAGCTAGTTTGATCATCCCATGATCCTCCTCTTCTGCTGTTTCCTTTGCTATGAGGCTGTTACAAGCATCTTGGATGAGGGGTGCTTGTCTAGGGGTATTGCTGAGTTCATTCCATGGGATTGATAAAGAATTGTATGTCCCACAAAGAAGACCTACTCAGATGAGGATGAAATGACAGTTGGAGAGCTAGAGATCTGAGGTGGGCATGTGAAAGCTGCAGCTGCCTGAGAGTAAAGTAGAAGAGATGCTGAAGGTCTTGGGAAGAAAGGAACTGCTGCAGATAAGGAGCAGGGATGATTACATCGCTGTCACCAGACAGTTAAAGTAGAGATCCTGATGATCTCAGAAAGTAACAGTTATAGATCCCAGATAGAGCACCAACCACAGAGCAAGCATTGATCTACCCAAGGCCAAGCTGAAGAACTAATGAATTTATTGGGGTCACCTGCAGGAGTAGGGGTGAGTGGTTACTTATATGAGCAAGGAGAACTCCAAAACAGATGATCACTGAAAAAGCCTACCCAGCAGGATATCAGCTCATATTAAGTTGTAACATTAGACCTCACTGTATAAGAGTAACACAGCTCAACAGAGCTGACCAGTCCCCTCTCTCCCCAGAAGTTCTTACTGTTTATATAACTTTAGTAGTCAAGAAACTTTGATCTTCCTTTAAGCTTCACGGACTTCCTGAGACTTGTGAGTTGTTTACCTCTAAATCTAAAGGAGCCTCCCTGCTGTAATGGGATGTCTCATGTTAGAACTTCTTGAGTCTTACTAAGAAGCTCTCCCGGATGGAAATGTCTTAATTTGGAAGGCTATTTTTACCCAACATCCATTGTCCTCTGTGTTCTGTAAACACTTTTTTTCTGTTTTGGAATTACAGAGTCTGTCATCCCAAGTAGTGGAACATTTCACGTAAAACTGCCTAAGAAGCACAGCGTGGAACTTGGAATAACCATTAGTTGTAAGTAGAATGGGATTCTTCTCTTAAATATTAGGATTTAAAGATGCTAATGTATAGTTACATTACCAAAGGGTTTACAGGTGTGGTGAATATTTTAAGTTTTCTTCCCCAGTTTCAGTGTCACCATATGAAACTTTGGAGCCAGTTACACAGCCAGCACCTGATAGCCTTGGGAGGGATATCAGCTACTTCAAGTTCTCTTTGCTGTTGCATTTCTTCCTTTATAACATGGCACATAGGCTCAGAAGAGAACTCAGTCGGTAAATTGTTTCCCACAAAAGCATAAAGATCTGAAAGAGCCCAAGCACACATGTAAAAAGCTGGACACAGCAGCACACATCTGTAATCCCAGTACTGAATAGCATCAGGCAGGAGGCTCACTTAAACTTGCTGGCCAGAAAGTCTCACCAACTTCAGTGAGAGATCCGGTCTTAAAATATAGAGTGAAAAGTGATTAAGGAGGACATCAGATGCCAACCTCTGGCTTTCACA